GGGCGCCATGAGTGGAATCTACTTATGAAAACTCATCCACTGAGAACCCTGTGGAGCACAGTTCTACTCTGACACACACGGGGACACCATGAGTGAAATCTACTTAAGAAAACTCATCCACTGAACATCCTGTGAGCACAGTTCTCCTCTGACACACACGGGGGTGCCATGAATCAGAGTGGATTGGATAGCAACTAGTAAAAGTTGAAGTCAATGAAAACTCTGCCTGTGGTGACGACAACAACAAAAAAAGTCACAGGCAGCTGGCAAGGCTTTCAAAGTCACCATCTAACTAACACCTTAGAACAAAAACACTGGACTTCCAGCAGTTCCTATCCACCAGCAGCTCCTCAGGACACAGATGAGGCTTTCTGCTCCCATATAGATTTACAGCCTCGGGGACCCTTTGCAGGGTTGCTATGGGTCAGAATCGACTTGATGACAGTGAATTTGAGTCCAAAAGTTTGTATATTAAATGCTTGTGAAATTGAAAAAACAAAACACTGGACTTAGAAGGAACTAGTCTTGAGGGGCTTTAAACTCTAACCTAGAAAGAAACAAACATTCTGATGATGATCTGAGCACTGCACCAGGTGCTGATCAAAGTTGGCCTTGGGCTACTAACTGCAAGGTCAGCAGTTCAAAGCCACCAGCCAATCCTCAGAATAAAGAGGTAGATGCCTACTTCTGTAAAGATTTAAAGGGTCACTGTGAGTCAGAGCTGACTGGATGGCAGGGGCTTGTTTGATCTGGGTTTTCAGGTGATCAAAACAGTTAACGACTAGTGAACAATATGCCAACTTTTAGGAAGGTATTTATTTGACAAACACTTAACCTAGGAGACTATGTACTAGCACTGTCTGCCTTGCTTGTTAAATTTTTATATACAGAAACAGACATCTAGAAAAGTCTTCAAATGGAATCTCTAGTTCAGCACACCCCAAAGGCAATGGCTCTAACTGCAGACTGTGGTTTCAATCCCCCAGCCCATGTTTCCTGCAAGGCCAAGGCAGCACACCTCAAGCACCAATTCAAACCCAGGTCTTTATGCTCTGTACACAGCTGCCAGGACCTTGACAAACTCTGCTAACTATACAAAAAAACTGCACCGAGACAACTTTCTGATAGGATTTTCCCACAATTCTCACCTTCCAAGGCCTTCGAATCCCTTTGAAAAAGTCAGGCATCCACATAGGAAGAACAACGGCTTCCCTCAGTAGCTTCTTCGCTTCTTCCAAATCAGCAATGTCAGCCCTTTGTGAAAAACAACACAGTCCCATGATGTTTACTCAGGGACACCTGTGGGGTTTGGGCCACACTAATAACTGCCTCTTTATTTTTTGGTAAAACTTGAGAAATTATTCATCCACTAAGAGCATTATTCTAAGTCTTACTGCTGAGAACGGTTGGTGGGAACATAGTGAAGACCTTAATTAACACATACTCGTCAATCAACCACTTTGTCAGCCATGTCGGCATCAAATGACCATTTTAGCTGCCCGTGGTTAGATTTTATCACAAGAACTGCCCTGTCACGAAGCCACAAGCAGGAGACTAAGAGATATCGACACTCATACCAAGTCACCCTATAGCTGGCTTTCTTCTGTGTTCTAATTTAATGGTATGATGGGCACTAACCAATGAATACTTAGGTTTCTCGATACAATGTCTCTCTCCAGAGCTTCCACCAGATCCTTGTCGTACCCAGCACTGTCAAAGTGTGGAATTTCTCCATCACTTGCGCCATCTTGCATATTCTTCCTTCCCTGGGAACAGGAGTAACAAGAAGCACAAATCAATAACAGGGTAATTGTAATACTACTACTATTAATAGGATCGGTCATTTAAATTAACATCAGTAAGCTTTCAAAATAGTACAATCACTTATAAAATGTTTCGTTATTTTAGGATAATATTTTCTGTTTATCCCAAACTGCCACCATACTATGTCCAATCCATCAAAAATGGATGAACTGCTTTGAACGGGTGTACTTTGCTGTGTACATTCTCAACACATTTTTTTTAATGTGTAGGATCAAATTAAGATTTAAAAAAACTTGAGGGGGGGGAGAAGAATGAACTGCTCAAATTTACTATAAATGTCTTCAAATTTACATTTTGGAGGGATGACTGCAGGTTAAGACGGAAATAACCCTAGCTAGATTTTTAGTCCAATGCTAACAGATTGGGAAACACCCCTAATTTGTGGTGCACACCCAGACACTACCCAGAATAATGTTGTTGTTGTTGTTAAGTGCCGATGAGTAGGTTCCCACTCACAGCGACGCTGAATAGTGTTTCCGAGGAGCAGCTGGTGAGCTTGAACCACTGACCTTGTGGTTCAAACCAACCTTGCAGTTCAGCGCATTAACCCACAGCACCACACGAGGACTCCATCCAGAATGGTGGTGGAGAGGAAAACAGAAAACTCATTTACTGAGAATCAAAAAACCTCACAGGCATGGTCTCCTTTACTACTGACAATGGTACTGATTTGTAGAGCTAAGAAAACAGAAATGCGGAAGGTTAGGGAGCAGAATCCAGGCAGCGCAGAGGGTCTCTCACGGTCTTCCTAACTCCTGGAGCCCACGGCCTTTCCACAGCATCCGACTGCTATAAGCCTGGCCGAGTTACCCCAACTCTCACTGTCTCCCCCAAACCCACTGCTCATGACAGCTGGTCAATTCCAACTCACAGTGACCCTGCAGGAAAGAGCAGAACTGTCCCTTAGGGTTTAGTACACACAAAATGGTTAGTGGGTTTGACTGGTCGCCTAAAGCTTCCAAGAAAGAGGCTGCAAAGGAGGAAAGAGCTGGGGCTCAGCGATGACCTCTGAAGGCACCTTTTCCCACAAGTACCCCCTCAGAAACCAGGGTTTCCTACCAACACGCTTCTTGAATCACATCAGAAAGTGATTCAAGGGCATTTCCAAACAGTATTATTATGACCATTAAAGCAGCATGCTTGATCCCCCAATTTTTATTTAATAATGTGGTGGCTTTAAACATGATTTATACACTACGTTTTCTATGAAGTTCTGCCAAAACGTCTTCTGCTCTGAAGAGCTTTCCATGAAACACACTCGGTTCCCCAAGACAGTTCAAGCCACAGGGCAAATGTCAGCAGCAGAGCCACGGACCTCCCTGGAGCGTCCACCCTCAGTCACTGTCCCGTGTCATCGCGAGTCCCAGCCCTAAGCTTACATCTGGAAAGAGGGAACAGAACGAAGGTCTTCTAGCGGCCCTCTCCTGAGGTCAACAAAAGGTTCAGTCAGAAGAGGGAAATGCACGGCTTCACACTCACTCAAGTTTGTCTAGTAGTCATTGTTGGCAGGTGCTGTCAGGTGGTTCTGACTCATTGAGAACCCCCAAGCACAACAGAAGGAAACACTGCCTGGTCCTACGCCGTCCTCACAAGCATTGTCTTGTTTGACGCCACTGTGGTGACCGCTGCGTCAATCATCTCATTGACTCTCCTCGACTTTCTGGAAAAGCATGATGGCCTCTAACAAAGATGTTCCCTCCTGACAACACGTCCACAGGGCATGAGAGGAAGTCTCGCCAGCCTCTCTTTCATGAAGCATCTGGCTGCACTTCTTGCAAGACAGATTTGTTTGTTCTTCTGGCAGTCCATGGTACTTTGCATATTCTTCACCAACACCACAATTCAAATGCATAGACTGGGCGAAAAATGTGGAACAAAACACAAAACCATAAAAAAGACCAGACTTACTGGTCAGACAGAGACTGGTGGAACCCCTTAGTCACCCTTCAGGTCTAGAAACCCCTGAGCTCACACCCAGAGCTCAATTTTCAACCAAACAGGTCTATAAAGGAACAACAACCCTATAGTGAGGGATACAGTCCTTAGAATAATCAACCATCTGAGATCAAAAGGATAAAGTTCAGAGGGTTAGGAAGGAAGAAGGAATGGAAACAGGTAAACACAGGGAGGAAATGAATACGTGAGGTTACACTGAAGGGGTCGCAATCAATGAGATGAAACAAAATGTGTCTGAGTTGTTAAACAGAACACTGATCTGGTCTGTATACCTTCACCTGATCCACAATATAAAGCTAAAAAACACAAAATTCTGGGAACAACTTTCCTGGTCTTTTTCTCACTGGTTCATTATCCGCCAAAGAAGCGTCTCTAAACGTTACAGATCAGGACTTGGCTTAATGTTTGGCTGACTGCCTTGCACATCATTTCTGCAGTTCTTACAATGTAAACAGTGTTTTAAAAACTTAGGAAATATTCTTCTGGTATTTGAAAGCTACTGTGTGGCGCTGTAGGATAAGCACTGGCCTGCTAACCCCAAGGCTGGTGGTTCAAGCCCACCAGTCGCTCCTCGGAAACCCTATGCAGGGTGGCTATGAGTCAAAACTGACTTGATGACAATTAACAATCTAATTCATCAGAGAAGTTGTTCATCTTACTGATGAACCAGTGAAGTTCCAATATATGCTTCTGCTGTCTCACTTCATCCTACGTATTGATGGAAACAAGACTTTTACCCACCACTCATCAGAACTGTGTCTATCCACCAACTGCAGCCGTGGCTTGGCTAGGACTAGGTGCTGTTACTGTTGTGCCATCGAGTCGGTTCTGACTAATAGCGACCCTGTATAGTGTTTCCGAGGAGCAACTGCTGAGTACGAACTGCTGACTTGTGGTCCAGTGCTTATCCTCCAGTGCCACACCACAACTCCGAGGATACATGAGTACAGCCAAAATCAGCAGAAGCCTTCTGTGAGCACCCACTAGCTCTGTGACATTTCCAGAGTGTTTGATCAATTTCATTCCTGTTTCAGCCCAATTTGTAATAAATCTGCATATGGGCATGGATTGTTGTTGTTAAGTGCCACTGAGTCATAGCAGGCTGTATAGCGCTTCCAAGGAGCAGCTGATGGGTTTGAACTGCCAACCCTGGAGTTCACAGTTCAGTGCCTATTCTAGAGTGCAACACATTAACAGCCCATGTTTAAGTAGTTATTTCAGAATGTGCATGTGACTATATATAGTTTACCAGCAAACCACTAGTTCTATGATTATCATTCATGCGACTGTACTCATAATTTGTACATTTTCTACGATAAAAGCTTTTCAAACAGTTTTATTGTTCATCTGTAGAACCATCATCCACAGCCCCTGAAAGGACACCTCAGTCTAGTTCCTCTGCAGCTCCCCATGAGGGACGCCCCTAGATCTATCACCAAGGAGAAGGAAAGGATTACAAATGGTCATCTACTACATGAGGTAATGAAACCAAGTCCTAGAAGTGAAGGCACTTTAAACAAACATTCTATGCACATAATTAGCCCTACTTTAATCTGAATTCTATTTAAAAGCATAAAATGTTGCAGTTGAAGAATTCAATTGTGAAATCATAAATGAAGCAGTCCTCATTTCACTGAGAGGTAATCAACCATAAAACTACGGTTTTAAAACTACGTAAGAATTAAGAATTTTCGGAACTCAATTTCTTTTTGGTTTTAGCACAATCACGTTTTTCGCTACCATCAGTATGAGTTGCATCTCAATGTAAAGAAAACAAAAATCCTCACCACTGGACCAGTCAATAGCATCACGACAAATGGAGAAAAAGATACAAATTGTCAAAGACTTCATTTTGTGTGGATCCACAATCAACACTCATGGAAGCAGGAGTCAAGAAATCCATTTGCCTAATGACATATTATTGCGTTACACAAATCTGTGGAATGAGACCTCATTAAAGTATTCAAGAGCAAAGATGTCAGTTTGAGGACTAAGGTGCACCTGACCCAAGCCCTGGTATTTTCAATAGTCTCATATGCACGTGTAAGTTGGACAACAAATAAGGAAGACTGTAGAAGAACTGATGTTTTGAGTTATGGTGCTACAGGGAAATATTAAAAGTGCCATGGACTGCCAGAAGAACAAACCAATCTGTTTTGGAAGAAGTACAGCCAAAATGTTCTTTAAAAGCCGAGAAGGCAAGACTTCATCTCTCATACTTCGGACATGTTCTCAAGAAGGATCAGTCCCAGGAGAAGGACCACCATGCTTGGTAAAGTGGATGGTGAGCAAAAAACAGAGGAAGGCCCCCACGAGATGGACTGATACAATGACAACAGCAATGGGCTCACGGTAACAACCGCTGTGAAGATGGTACGGGATCTCTCGGGCCTGGGGTAGCTAGGAGGTGAAATCAACCCAATGGCATCTAACAACAACAACATTCCATTTTCATAAATAAAAACACTTATTTATTGTTTCCACTTACACTGTCTACACTAAAGAGCTGAATAATAATAAACTAAACTCCCCAACATGCATTCAAGTAAAACCGCAAAATGTAGCTGTGAAGGTTAATCTATTCCTGATTCCCTCTTATCAATGAGCCAACACTCACCTTGAGGATAAGGACCACTGACAACAGCTGTTATTTCCAGCACCAAGAAGATGCGCAGTCAGAACTAAGTACACACTTCGTAAGCCCACTGCCATCAAGTTGGTTTGAACTTATGGAGAGCCTATATAAAGTTTCCAAAACTATCGATCTTTATGGGAGCAGACAGCCTCATCTTCCTCCCGAGGAGCGGCTGGTGGGTTTGAACCACCGACCTTGTGGTTAGCAGTCCAGCGCGTATCCTACAGAGCCACCATGTCTCCTCCCACACTTCATAAAGGCGTGCCAAATACACAGGTACAAACAGGCTTCCTAAAGGACCTGACCTGAGGGCCTCGGTGGGAGGGAGAGGTGCCAGGGCAGAACCAGCAG